ATTTGTTTTGCATTTACACGTATAAAAATTGCGATTCTTATCCAACGCAATCATAGGTTTGAACGTTGTTTTCAATTTAGACTTGTTTATATTTTTTCGTTTGGGCTTGTATTATATTTGCCTTCGGGTTTATATGATCCGTTCATCCTATTTTGACTCTTTCAAAATTCAAGAGTCTATCCTAAATTGAGGTAAATTATATGGCCTTCCAAATACCGTTTCGATTCCTAACATCACTGAAGAGACATTAATTGTCGAAATCCGGATATGGTGTACAAATTTTTGCACCTCATGTTTGCGGTATACCATCTTTTCCGCAAGTTTATTGTTTTCTGTTTGGTAATAATTTAATTATAAGATCTGTTTTGTTACATCTTGTGATCCGTTTATTTGGCAATCGCCAATGGCAGCCAGCAGGGTTTAAGAACATCAGTTGTTCGACCTGCTAGTCAAATGCGTTTTGTTAAAATATACTTTTTCACTCATTTGGTCTTTTGGAAAATGTTGTTTGTGCTGTATTTAGACCCCTCTACCAAGAAATTTGTTTTGCATGCACACGTATACAAATTGCGATTCTTATCCAACGCAATCATAGGTTTGAACGTTGTTTTCAATTTAGACTTGTATATATATATATATATATATAAGTGCCTATAAATAGCAGCACATGACATACAAATCTATGGGAGTGTGGATTAATCAGTACAGAGATTAATTCAATTACACAAATAAAATTATAGATTGCCTAACAATGTAATTTTAACACACTATTTAGTATGTAAATATAAGAATGTTTAAAATATTTACAAAATGATGAAAATAAACGCAATATTTCGCTAGACTAACTAGCTTTATCAAGCGTGCATCTATCCAGGTGAAATCGGATGTAGATGATAAGAAACTTTTGCAGCTCAATGTATATGTTGCACTTGAATTTAGCTGCCTTGAAAATAATACATAATTTGGATGAAGTTCAAGATTTTTACAAAATTGGTAGTTGAAGTTAGCAACGTCCATTGGCCAATATTACAGGATAAAAAGGACGATGCTGTGTACTAAATTATTCTTTATCTTTCCTGTATCTTTTCTCATCTTTTTCGTTAAGACCATCAGGTTCTAAAGTGTGGAGTTGGTGGATCCAAAAATTTTCTGTTCTCCTTCTCGCCGTGGTGTCCCACTCGGTGTTGACTTCTATGATTTGGAAGGTAACATTATCAAAAGAATGTTTCGTTGAACGAAGATGTCTTGTGAGAGGACAGTTTTTGTTGGTTTTGTACCATGAACGATGGTTATTGAGCCGAATATTAAATTTGTCCATTGTTTCTCCCACATACTGAATGCCACATGTGTCACATGTTAATATATAAATTGAGTTCTCCGTTTTACAGTTGGAATTTGAGAAGATGGTATAATTCTTCTCAAATTCCAACTGTAAAACGGAGAACTCAATTTATATATTAACATGTGACACATGTGGCATTCAGTATGTGGGAGAAACAATGGACAAATTTAATATTCGGCTCAATAACCATCGTTCATGGTACAAAACCAACAAAAACTGTCCTCTCACAAGACATCTTCGTTCAACGAAACATTCTTTTGATAATGTTACCTTCCAAATCATAGAAGTCAACACCGAGTGGGACACCACGGCGAGAAGGAGAACAGAAAATTTTTGGATCCACCAACTCCACACTTTAGAACCTGATGGTCTTAACGAAAAAGATGAGAAAAGATACAGGAAAGATAAAGAATAATTTAGTACACAGCATCGTCCTTTTTATCCTGTAATATTGGCCAATGGACGTTGCTAACTTCAACTACCAATTTTGTAAAAATCTTGAACTTCATCCAAATTATGTATTATTTTCAAGGCAGCTAAATTCAAGTGCAACATATACATTGAGCTGCAAAAGTTTCTTATCATCTACATCCGATTTCACCTGGATAGATGCACGCTTGATAAAGCTAGTTAGTCTAGCGAAATATTGCGTTTATTTTCATCATTTTGTAAATATTTTAAACATTCTTATATTTACATACTAAATAGTGTGTTAAAATTACATTGTTAGGCAATCTATATATATATATATATATATAGGACTCAAATCTATGGCGGGTCCAAATCTATGGCTAATTCCTAATCTATGGCAAATGTTATATATAATATTTATTATATATATAAACAAGTCTAAATTGAAAACAACGTTCAAACCTATGATTGCGTTTGATAAAAACCGCAATTTTTATACGTGTGCATGCAGAACAAATTTCTTGTTAGAGGGGTCTAAATACAGCACAAACAGCATTTTCCAAAAGACCAAAAAAGTGAAAAAGTATATTTCAACAAGACGCATTTGACTAACAGGTCGAGCAACAAATGTTCTTAAACCCTGCTGACTGCCATTGGCGAGTGCCAAATAAACGGATCACCAATGTAATAAATGGATCTTAATTATAAATTTAATACTAAACAGAAAACAATAAACTTGCGGAAAAGATGGTATACCGCAAACAAAAGGTGCAAAGGTTTTTGTACACCATATCCGGATTTCGACAATTAATGTCTCTTCAGTGATGTTAGGAATAGAAACGGTATTTGGAAAGCCATATAATTTACCTCAATTTAGGATAGACTCTTGAATTTTGAGGAGTCAAAATAGGATGAACGGATCATATAAACCCGAAGGCAAATATAATACAAGCCCAAACGAAAAAATATAAACAAGTCTAAATTGAAAAAACGTTCAAACCTATGATTGCGCTGGATAAAAACCGAAATTTTTATACGTGTGCATGCAAAACAAATTTCTTGTTAGAGGGGTATAAATACAGCACAAACCACATTTTCCAAAAGACCAAAAGAGTGAAAAAGTATATTTTAACAAAACGCATTTGACTAACAGGTCGAACAACAAATGTTCTTACACTCTGCTGACATATATTTATATATATATATAAGTGCCTATTAATAGCAGCACATGACATACAAATCTATGGGAGTGTGGATTTATCAGTACAGAGATTAATTCAATTACACAAATTAAATTATAGATTGCCTAACAATGTACTTTTAACACACTATTAAGTATGTAAATATAAGAATGTTTAATATATTTACAAAATGATGAAAATAAACGCAATATTTCGCTAGACTAACTAGCTTTATCAAGCGTGCATCTATCCAGGTGAAATCGGATCTACATCAGATTTCACCTGGATAGATGCACGCTTGATAAAGCTAGGTAGTCTAGCGAAATATTGCGTTTATTTTCATCATTTTGTAAATATATTAAACATTCTTATATTCACATACTTAATAGTGTGTTAAAATTACATTGTTAGGCAATCTATATATATATATATATATATATATATATATATATATAAAACCTTTAAGGTAAATTTTGGATTTAAAAAAAATATCTACCTGTTGTCAGTAATTTTGAGAATAGGAGGTGTCTAGCGAAACTAAAAATTTCAGGACATCGTTTGCAAATAGAAACTGGCAGATACCAAGGTATTCCTCCACACCTTAGACTTTGCGGGTATTGTGGCTCAGGTGAGGTAGAGGATGAGACACACTTTTTCCTTCATTGCACCAAATTTAACGAGGAGCGATAAAATTTGCTTAAAACTATATCTCAGTCATGTTAAATTTTTTTTAACATGAATACTCCAGAAAAGTTCTTTTGGTTAATGACCTGTGAGGACAAATCAATAATATTTGAGGAACTTCATTCATACTCACTGTAAATAGTTTTATGCTCTAATTTTAATCATTAAAACAAATTTGTTAAACTCATACTTCATTTCCTTCTTTTTAACTGCTTGCTTGGCTGGTTTTGGCACGGGGAGAATCATATTCAAACGATTCTTAAGCATCGTCCACTGGTGTCTCCTCCTGTTAAGCAATCATTAAAAGGCCCGATTTATTTATTTATTTATATATATAACGTCTTGTTGGCTTTGCTCCTCCTGCTAAGCAATCAATTTACCAAAAATGTTTGTCTCCCCTTGGGTCGCACTGCCACAAACAGCCTTGTTGTAGAGAACTCAACATTTAAAATCATCTTATATTGTTCTTGTTATTACCACACTGGTATTATACATTGTATTCTTGTACTGTATTGTTTGTATAACTGAATTATGATTGTATCTTTGTCTTGCCCTCTGAGGGACTTTAATTGGAATAAGCACAAATTGTATTGTATTGTTGTAGTATATAAATGCTATAGGTGATTTAAAGAGACATTAACTGTCAAATTCATGTTCACCGATTTGACTCAAATTCTAATATTTGATTTAAAACCTACTAAAACGTATATCCAAATTATAAAAAGTCTAGAAAAAAAAACAATTTACAATGCATGGGCTCGATGATATGTGTCGACATTTCGTTTGTAATTTAGTCTATATTCCATCTAATTAACCATCGATGTGACCTCCGAAGACTGTCGACGGTCATATAACTCGATATAAACATAAATATAGATATAAATAGATAGCGAACTCGTGCAATTCGATTTTTCTAGGTCTGTTTGATTTCATAGCATAGGTTAAAAATATATGTTAATCACCGTTTTTACCTGTATAAGAATGAGTGTTTTGTGGATCGAATCAGTCAATCAAATGGTTTACCCTTGTTTCACTTTCAATGTTGACATTATTTCCCTTTTTATAAATGAACACGCCTAATTCATGCTTAACCCATCTCTAACTAAGGGGTTAAATTGAAGGTCACCTGAATACAGATTTAATGAGGTCGAATTATTCACTTGCAAGTGAATAATTTATCAGCGATGTTTCTTAGCTTATTTTGACAAAATTGAACCAAACCTGCTACTAAAGGTTAAATTGAAGGTCACATGAATACAAATTTATTGAGGTCGAATTATTCACATTATTATTTCACTATTTCACTTCCATTGAACAAAAACAAATCTTACTTTAATTTTTGTATATCTCGTATCTTATGCCCGTTTAAACACATTACATACTTGAACAATATCATTAGGTTGTTTATGTTTACTCTTCGCCTGTAAAAAAATAAATAAATATCAATTCCTGATTTTTTTTTCGAATTTATGAATACCTGGTCTCCTTCAATTAGTCTAGAATCGTTTTTACAATGATTGTTATACATTTTTCAGAACGAAAATATTCGTATGTTGATAAAAATGAATTTTCACAATGTATTCTTAGTTGCAAGGTCAGCAAAATAGTATCAACAAATGTCTATTTTGGATAACAACTTGTTAAATATTTAAAAAAAAAGAAGGAGACAAATATACCGATAAATGTAAAAAAAAGTATTCCATCCCGTCAAACAAACATAACAAAAGAAGTTAATTTGACTAAACAAATATTGCAAAAAAAAAAGATGCAACCTATCCTATTGTACTTGAAATCTAAGATACCATAACTAAATCTGTTTTATATCTTCACTCAATAAAGGCAACATTAGATTACCACTGTTCAATAGTCATAAATCGATTAAGCGAAAACAAATCCGGGTTACAAACTAAAACCGAAGGAAACTTATCAACTGTAAGAGGAAAACAACGGAACAACATAAACATTGAACTGCAACAAAAACAAACGCCAACATACATAGAAACGGACTATTTGATAACAACTGCCATATTCTTGACTTGGTACAGAACATTTCAAAAAAAAATGGTGGGTTTAACCTGGTTTTATGGCGAGCCAAACCTCCCGCTTATATGGCAATGTTAAAAATACCTCTAAAATGACAACATTACGTGACATGAATACAGTACAAAAAAACGCAATAACACACAGGACAGATAAATACATAAATAAATGATATAATAGTACATTACAAAATGTAAACCACAGAATAACAACGGACATCCCCTATGAATTTACTACAGTACACCACAAACGAAGTATAAACTGCGCATCACACGAATGTATCAACGCCACACAAAGTGACCTATTTTTTTGTGACGTTTATACTATCACAGGTAAATTTCTAAAAATAGAATATATTTGTTTTATTATAGACACGTATAAGAATATAAAATTGGGATTGAGTTTGTAATGGTGTTATTTTATGATTTTTTTTAACCATGATAAGAATATTAAAATGGCATTGTGTTTGTAATGGTGTTGTTATTTGTATTTTCTAACCAAATCGGTTTTTCTTCTAAATCAAAACTGTGTATAAACAAAAAAATTCTGTGCATCTTAAAATCATATAAATGAAATAGCTGATTTATTATCTTAACTTTTACATACATATAGAAAATAAAAATAAAATAACTGTATATAAGGCAAGATCATGTAAGACCAAACAGTAAACACACTTGAAAACAAACAACATAAAACAAAAACACTGTAGACGAACCACGAGTAACTCGACTATACTGACAAATAAGACATATGTGAAATGAACCGAAAATACAGAATTCAAACCACAAACTATAAGACATAACACACTATCCAAACGGACTTATAAAAGAAACATCATAACTAAATACATTAATGTTGGATGTATAAATACCGAGACACGTCGTATATCAATGCGAATTCATACTCGGCAAAACAGTCATATTCGGAAATAGGTCACATTCGGTACTTAGCAAACCAGACGACTTAGATGGTAAACCACAATCTGAGACGTGGTAAAAATGTCTTTAGTTAGTTTAGACACAGACACATCGTATAGATCAACCAATTCGTGATGGTGTCCATAAAATTTACGAAGTGTCATTTTTAATCTTTCCTCCTCATAACTCTGTTGGAGCAGAATGGGGAGTAGTAGTGTAAAGCGTAGAAAAATCAATTGTCTTCATGTTGCTGCAAAATTGCAGAGATTGTGATCTAAGATCTTTAGAATATTTAAGAATATACATCTGATTGACACCACAGGTTTAATATATCCCATCGCAATATTTTTAAAGGCCATATTTTACTGAAGAAAGAATAGTAGTCAGCACTTTAGAAAGATGTTTAGTCGAACATCTTGATGATCCAGCTATGTATCGTTCTTTATAAAGAGTTTTGTGAAGTTTAGGTATCCAGTATAATGACGGTAGATTTTCTTCGTTTTCTTTGATGTTAATACAAAAAGAAAGAAGGACAGATTTGTGATTTTCTAAAATTTCATCCTTTGTAAATTATGTTAAAGAATATGTACGATTACCAGTTTTGCTGTTTATTCCAAGCTCTTTTGTGAGGTGTTGTAAATGTGCACTTGTGGTTCCCAATTAATGATTTAATATCAGTTTTATGTTTTGAGAGTGTAAAATGTGATAATATGTATTTATAGTTTCTGTGACTTTTTAATGCACAGAAAGCGTACGTTACACTTTTAGTTATTAACTATATTATCAGTGCCAAAAATGGCGCAATTTCGTCATGTACTGTTCAAAGCGCAGCCATTTGGTAAATATTCTAAGTATGGATCCAAAACTACACAAGAAGCATAAGCTAAAGTTAATATATGCTTTATCTAAATAGATTTACCTATTTTCTTACGAAGAAAGGATCATTTTGAGTCGAGGACTCCCATGTTTTTGTCAGCGTTTGACGTTTCATTTCTGTTCCGGCTTAGAATATTTACTTCCGGTATTTTAAAAATAAATACCAGTGCAAAGGTCAAATTCCTCAGTCTTTGCTGTTTACATTTTGGCAAATGCAAAGATCCCGGGTGGTTCCTTTAGAGGTAAGAAGCAGCGCAGATAGCTGTATGCCTCGCATGGTCTAAATTATTTACTATACACATATCGTTTGGCAATTCCTTATCCTAGTTCCAAAAACACATGCGAAATATTATTATTGAGATCAGCTCCGCCTATTTATGCAAATTTACATGACAAATTATTTATAGACAAGTATCTTGAGAATATGTTGGAAATTACATGTTAAATATATTACGATAGTTTAGTCTGTACATTGTTGCGTTGTGCCGTAATAAATATATTATTTTACTACGAATTATTCATTTACGCTACCAATATTACCGTGGAGAACATAGGCCTGATGAAAGACAGACAACACTGTAGTTAGTCAATTTAAAGAGTTTCCGTCGTATATATTTGCTTATAACTATACAAAAACATAGCAAAAAGCAGAAATTACAACATGAGGCATTCCAAGGAATGGTTTTTACATATGAAGACAATATTATTGGAGGCTTTATCTGCTGGAACAACGACATATTTGTCCTGAAAAGGGGATAAAGCATCCACAACCTCCGGGTTCTTGAATGGGTTAGAAACGATTGTGCTCATAGTACATCGTAGTTTCAGAATGCGCTTCTGATTGCATGATCGAATAACTTTGATCCATTCAAACAAAGTGTCCATTTCTGGTTCATCTGGCTCTCGCTTTACTCATTTTCTGGCATAGTCCTCAACTGCATCCATCAGTATCCTGAAGTTCTTTTTCCAGTTGATGGGCTGGGGAATTCTATATTTTGGTCACTTGGCTAACAACTCTCTTAGTAGTTCATTGGCTACGATGCCAAGGCCGTCAGTAATACATGACCAGCTTGACTATAATTGTATTCTGACGATGCACATGAGCAATCCGGAGGTTTGGATTTCACATCTTTTACATCTTTTAGGTTAAAGGCCTCTAAAACCCTCTTGTGGTTGAAAGTCTTGGATGCAATAGGCTTGGTGTAAGTATATGAAATAACAGGTGTAGCTTTATTTTTGAAGTAATCAGGTATAGCTTTTTGTACAGATTTCTGGTAGAAAATATTGCTAATATCTAAACCTTTATTAGCGAATTCTACTTAAAATAAATAAAAAAAAACGTTTTTCCTCATCTTTGGAAGTAGTAGATACGGGTTTGACAAATATGATATAATGCAACAAACGGCAACAACTGAATTACAGGCTACGGACTTGGGACAGGCACATACAGAATGTGGCGGCGTTAAACTAGTTTGAATGCACACCAACCCTCCCCTAACCAGGGACAGTGGTGTAACAGTACAACATAAGAACAAACTATAAAAATCAGTTGAAAAGGGCTAAACTCATCAGCTCGATACAAAGCAGAAATATATCTAACAAAAACACAGAGTGGAAGTGGCAGGATTCATATACATCCCCCCCCCCCCCCCCCAAAAAAAAAAAAAAGACACTAAGTACAGATCTGAGAGTACTCGTCGTTACTGACAGCTAGTTCAAAGCAAATAACAACTAATAAAAAAAATCATGCATCTAAGACTAAAATTTCAATTAGTTCACATCCAACATCCAATGGATCTAGTGTAAATTAAGACATCATTAACTGTCAGAGAAAAACATGACCTTGTGCAATGCCAAGATACAGGTATCGACAGATTGTAGAGCCATGAATGTGCATATGTATATAAAAATAATATTTAGTTTGATTTTAATTTACTAATAACAAAATCAATATTAATACCAATAAAAACAATATTCAAAGATCTAATTATAGTGTTGAATTGTTAACCTTTTAGAATAAGTTTATTTGAAGGATCGATAAGTTTACCAGGATCGTATCTAAATTTCCAGGCTCGGTAAACAACATCTCCATAAAAATTAGGATGTGCTATCCCGTTAAAAATAAGTTTTCTACAGGTACAACCAAACTTCCAAACCAAATCTGTATATCTATGGAAGAATTTAGTAAAGGTTTTAAGTAATTTGTTGTAACGAAATCCCTGACTTAATACTTTACCAGTAATACATAGACAACGTTCATTGAAATCCAATACGTCACAACAGACATGGGCATAGCGAACGAGTTGTGATATGTAAATATTGAATTAACAATAGGGAACGAATAATCGTCCCTTTTGTCGTAAATTTTAGTGAAGAGTTTCCCGTGTAAAACTGAAATATCTAAATCTAGGAAATGACAGTTATTACCGTTTACATTTGATTTATTTAAATTAAGTTCTTCTGGGTAAATTTCAGCAGTTTATTTATACAACTCTTGATTATTTAACAAAAAAAAATCATCAAGATAACGATAAGTGTTGTTGAATTTTTCAGTTAAATGCAATTAAAACGGGTCTTTACTGAGCGTGGCCATAAACTGTGATTCATAACAGTACAAGAACAAGTCTACTATTAAAGGGGCGCAATTGGTGCCCATAGGAATACGTACAAGCTGTCGATAAAGTTTATTCCCGAAACGTACATAAATATTATCAAGGAGAAAATTAACAGCTCAATCATCTTATCACACCTTCAGTAAGTATATCTAGCATATTTACCTTTCTCATTAGAGAAGAAGGCTTTAAATGAGTTGCAGCAAATATATTTGTATTCAGATTTACCAAACGACCATTTAATTAAATAGGAAAACTTTTGTTTGATAAGATTGTGTGGAAGTGTAGTGTAAATAGTTGAAAATTCAAAACTGTCAACAGAATCAAAAGGACCATCAAAGACACGTAATTTATCTAAAACATCCAAAGAATTTTTTACACTCCAAAAATAGTTAATTCCACTATTTTCATATGTTTTATTACAAAAGTTAATGATAAGTCCTTTGATAGTAATTAAGGAACTATTTAAAAGCACTAAAAGATCAGTTGTAGAACACTTACTAGAGGCCAAGATGAAACGAAATTTTACTTTTTTTTGTGTAGTTTGGGTAACCAATACATAGTAGGGACCTTCAAATGTTCAGAAGAGGCCTTAAGCTGTGATGTGGTTATGATATGATTGTTTACTATACGACTTTCTGTGAAGCGCACGGATTTGAATGTAGAAGAATTTAAAATTTCATTCTTAAGAACGTCCGTGTAGTATTTACGGTATACAACCACCACATTGTTGGCTACTTTGTCGGCCGGTACAAACACAAACCGCTTTGCGAGTACTTGAAGTTTGTTTCTTATTCTAGAAATAGACGTATTATGTACTCTTTTATTTATTTCTAAATTATTTTCAAAATGTGATATTCGAATATCCACAACATTGATACATTTATTTAAAGAGATTTTTAATCAAATTTTTCCCGTTTACACAAATTTTTACAATAGTATGAAAGAGCGTCTTTTGTGATCTGACGACACTTTTTCCAATCTATTTTAGATGGAGGACGATATAAAAGTTTTTAACCGATCGGTCTTGAACGATATTAATGTCCCCCGTAATAACATGGCCATAGGGATCATATCTAAAATTCAACGATTCACAATCTCAAGTTAGAGAAGTATTATTTTCTACACTGACGTCTGATGTTACTGACGTATAATTAAAAATTAAACTTCTGCTGGGTTTTTTGTATGTATACGAAATAATAGGTGGTTCTCTGTTATCAAAATAGGGAGGTATAAAGTTTTGAATGGAAGAGTCATTAAATATACTCGATAAGTTGATGAAATCAATACTTCTGTTAATATATTTAATTTTCAGAAAATGTCGTTTATGATTTTCAGGTTTATTGATACGCGGGAACAGCCTATGGTGACAAAAAGCTGTAATTATACGCGAATATTCATAAAGTGGGCTGAAGAACGAGATTGTGTCACACTCCTTGAAAATTTCAAGTAATTTACTAATTGGTATTTGACCCAGTTTACATAATAATTGATGCCTACTATTGTTTTTTAATATAGATAGGAGATCATCAAGTGTATAATTTATACGATGTTTAATTCGTTGATTTCGATTGATACGTTTGCCATCAGACCTATTATTACGTTGTCTTTTATCAACAATATTCATGATATCAATAGAAGTTATAGATATGTTCCCTTGTCCCATTATATTGTCATTTAGACCCAGGGGATATGCTGTCTGAAGTCGTTAAATACAAGACAGTTTGATAATTTTACGGGAATCTTCAAATTGTTTATGCGATTGTGCTTGTTGTTTCTGGATCGTTTCGAGTGGTTGGAATCTTATATTGTGATTGTGTTTACCTAAATGTTGGTAAATTTAACTTTTGAATTTCTTAGGTTTTTGGAAGCGGTATAGATGTTCCAGTGTTCGTCTAAATTCCCATCTTGTTTGTCCTACATATTGTAAACCACACTTTGGCTTTGTTCAAGTAACCAGCCTCGTATTTTTGATGAAGTGTTAGTACAGGCACTTGAAAATGTGGCGGGTTTCAACTAACTTTTGTTTAGTTTTTATCCTCCATCTTTTTAAACTCGATCATTCGAAGAACAAAACACACATAAGAGAACATTCAATAAAAACCAGTACAAGAAAGGCACATAACTCAATAATAACGATATAATAGGCAACAAAACGCACACACTAAATAACAAATCATACATAGCTAACTAGTCTATCTTAATAAAATTGGAAATTATGAGTACTTTCCTTATATCTATAAAACTAACTTCTAGTTGAATTTGCAGAACTATAAATTCAGCAATGAATACAATACACATTCTTTCTTTCAATTGCAAAAGAAAAAGACCCACAATAACTACAGTCTGGCTCAACTTAACATAATCAAATATCTGTATCTTAACATTTAAGAACACCTTCTCAAAACTTCGATTAAATATTTCATCAAAGTTGCTCTCTAATATTTAATAATTTGCTGAATATATGCAATAGGCAATCTACCTAATTATCGATATACTTTAATTATTGACAGTAAATTTTGATACTTATTTTAAATCATACAAATTATTTAGTTTCCTATGAAACCTCATGTTCACAACCATATTTGGATATTCTTGTTTCATTGGTGAAAAATAAAATCAATAAAGTTTCATGGTTATCATTTTTTCATTATGCAATATCCATTAAGAACGTTATCCCAAAAAAAATACTCTAAGCGATGTACACAGTAAAAAAATAATCATATAAATTAGCAAACTCAAATATGGTACAAAAAATAAAATAAAAAGGGGTGAAAAGCCACAAAAAATTACATAAATGAGTTAGCCTTAACACTGTAATATAAAGGGATAAAATAAATACATTTTTATATGCAAACAATGTTAAAATCTTGATAGGCAAGTCTATAAAGTAAGTATTCGCAATCTTCCTGAAAGTTCCCATCTTCTGTTAGTTCCGCAGATTATAGTGCAGGTTGTTCAAGAGAGTTGCAGCCGCTTTGTCAAATCGTCTTTCCCCGTAAGTTGTAGTGTGTTTACGTGGTGGTTGTAGCTGCATATCTGATAGCACTGAGTTAATAGAGATACTTTGAGTTCTGCTGCTTAGGTAGGACTTAATCCATGAAAGGGCATTACCAAATATTCCGTAGGAGTATTCAAGACGGAATCGGATGGTCAATAACAGTCACAACAGTTGTTATCAAGTACTAGCGCAATGTCGTGATGAACTGTTATTGGAGCTGTTTTCTATGAATGACAAGCATGGTAGGCTGACTGTATGTCGTCATAAAGAGAACTAAAATTCAAGTGATTTCTAAAGCGCACTCCTATCACATTCTCTAACACCTTCGAGACTGGTCTGTAGCATTTAAATGTGTCTTTGTCTAAGTCAGACTTTAATTAGTGATGGTCGGACTATGACTTTCCTGAAAGATGATGGAAAATTTGATTCAGCAAACGATTTGTTGATTATTTTTGTGATCTAAGGAAGTAAGCTATCCAGACAAGGTTTAGAAAGGTAATTTGGAATACGATCAAGTTCACAGGACTTTATTGGAACATTCTTGATGATTTTGTGAATCTCTTTATTTGGTGCAAGTGACAGAGTTGTTAAATGTTGTCCTTTAAATGTCACATCTGCTCTGAGAACACCGGAAGATTTTTTAAGCATTATAGATACAATGGATAAGCGTTGAATCTTGAAAAAGAAACCAGAGGCAGTCGATACAAAGGGCACAATCAAAACTCACAAGTAGTTGAAATACGAAAAACTACGACTAGACGAACATCTTCATAATCTTTTCTATAACGAAACAATTTCAGCGAAAACATTCTATTAAATCCATGATAACAAAAAAAGCAAGAACCAGACATATTATTGTAGCTCCGACGTATCCAATGGAAACGGCGGAAATACGATCGTCTGCTGCAGAATATTTGGTACGTAAATTCAGGGTTGTATTTTTCTTATTTATCGCAATACGTTTCTGTAATATATTTAGATCAGGTTTCAATATCTCCTCTAATTGTGCCAAAGACAAATTTAGATCACGCAAATATGCCCATTTGTTAGCTCCAACTAGAGAACAAGGACAGCGACATGCCAAAAGGTCTGTATCAGTAACAGGCGTAGTCAGATCAATGTTAGCTGTTGTCTTTACTGTTGTAGTTGCTGAAATATAAGATATCTACATCTACATCTATACAACATAATAGCTAAAAAAGAAATTTATATTAGCTGCAATTATATCGATTTCATAGTAAAAAAATTAATTTTACTGTATTTTTATTTGACCGATCAAAGAGGATGCTGATCAGCTTAGTGTAACTTGTTGTAGCTCTTTATACATCAGATCCTTTCATCGACCTTGCATCTAGCATGCGTTAACAACAAACAGTGAAATTGATCGTAAATGGTTTGTATGTTCCTTTTGAATACTCATATACATTCTAGGAATAAAAAAAAAAATATTTCAGTTTTTCTTTTAAAAATATCCGATGAAATCTATTCTTAATATACTAAAGTTAATTATCGCGATGAACAATTGAGATCTTTTCAACTTAGTTTTCTTTGAAAACACCTACCACAAATACAACGTAAGAAATACGATAGATGGTCGTACAAAGTGATATATATTGCATATGGAAACAAACCACATAGATTGAAAGCGCATGGTGAAAAGAAAACAGATGAAAATCCAATATGTCCACAAAACACTACACGAGAACTTAAGATTTTTTAAGAACAACAGCTAGACAAGTCAATAACATATAGTTACCGCATAGACAACGAACAAAAAACAAATGATACAAAAAACTAAAGGAAAAACAACACGAACCTCTTTAAAAAAATTCGCGACGCAGCCGAATCTCCGTCAGAATAAGAAGTTCTTGTTCCATTACTGGCACCCGTCGTTTTGCTCATATTTTGTAAAAATCAAGTGATAACTGGAACGCCACAGATGTCTTATGTGGAACTCTGATATTACGTTATGTTGTTTTATTATTACTTGATGATATTTTGTCTTTACATAATATGGTTTTGACTTTACGTAATGATGTTTTGATATAACTCAGTATGGAATAGTCATTTCTTAATGATGTTTCGATATAACACGATATGGTTTCGTATTGACTTGATACAGTTTTGTCATTACTTAATATGGTTGTTTTGTCATTACTCAATGTGATTTTACCATTATTTAATGTGGTTGTGTCATTAGGCAATGTGGTTTTAATATTACTTGATGTGTATGTGACTTAACTTAATGTAGTTGTTTCATTACATTTGGTTTTGTTATTTCGTAATGATGATTTGCCAATTCTTTATATGGCTTTAACATTACGTAATGATGTTTCAAAATTTGACGATTTTACACTACATGATGTGTTTCAAAATGTATTTGATGTGGTTCTGTCATTCTTTGATGTGGTTATCACATTACTTGATGAGGTAAAACCACGTGACCATTTCGGAAAAAAAATATGTTCTATTTTTAAACCGATTTCCATATGTCGTTTGTTTAATGTGCTTTGGATGAGTATCGCTATCCATTGAGTTAAAGTTCAAATTAAAGTTCGAGTTGTTGTTCAGAGTTATTTGGTATGAAAAAGGGGAACGGCAGACAAAAATAATAAAATAGTACTAAAAAATTAACAGTATTTCGGACATAAGTGGGATATCCCCAAACCACTTGGTCCTGCCGTTTTTTTTTCATTAGTTCTCAAATGGAAGCAATATTATAATAAATTCGTAAAAGATTCGACGGAACCCTGTGTCTCGCCTGATATTGCTGCTGTCAGTGTAAAAGCGTAATGTTGACTGTACATTTATCGGTACATTTTTCGGTAAAAAAAAAACCAAAAAAACAAAATGTTTTTCTGTAGATGCTTTATCTTGATTTTGAAGAATAACTCCTATACAAGTTTTATAACAATTCATGGAGGTTTACAAATTTATCATGTCAAAACAGTTTAATTCGGTAATATTTAATGCAAAAAAACCTTATATAAAAATAAGAAAATGTGTTATGATTGCCGATGAGACAACTCTCAACCACATACCAAATGACGTAGAAGTAAACAACTATATGCGACTGTATGGTCTTCAACAATGAGCAAAACTCGTACCACATAATAAGCTCTAAAAGGTCCCGAAATGAAAAATGTTAAAACAATTCAAACGAGAAACCTAACGATCTAAATGATGAAGACGCCGACGCCACTACCGACGACGGAATATAGGTTTGTTGTGTCTCACTGCCGCTACATTAATGTCGCAGGCTCGACACAAATCAAAAGACTTGTACTTTATTGTCAACAAATGAGACACTTTAAATCAACTCACACTCAAATTACAGGGAAATGGGGGGATCGGACTAAGCGACAAAGCATCAATTTTATAAAATAAGAGTTCTTCGATTTTTTTTTAGCGTGTATGATCATTTGAACATATACGAATATCAATCTTTTATTTTTATAAAATGCATTCTCTGATATACCTCGCACTAATTGAAAAAAACAAACGTTTTGGAATATCTGTTTCACAGGTGACGACGGATATGTTCCAGTTGTCGTAACCACAATCCCATCATCTTTTCCCCGAATGTGAACTCCAAATAGAACCAAATCACTGGGTTTGTACTTTCACGAATAACACGACGGGTGCCACACGTTGAGCAGAATCTGCTTACCCTTCCGGAGCACCCAAGATCACCCTCGATTGATTTATATTACTCAGTCATACCGATCTATTGAGTTAAGCCAATTGAAACTGTTTTTTACATTTTTTTCTTATGTTGTGATGTTACACTACAGTCCGAGGTTAGGTTATGGTTTAGCGCTCACATACATGTTAAACTCCGCCACGTGCACTTTCTATATGTGCCTGCCCCAAGTCAGGAGCCTGTTGTTCAATGGTTGTCGTTGTTTCATGTGTGTCATATTTGTTTTTCGTAGATAAATTTGACTGTTAGTTTTCTCGTTTGAATTGTTTCACATTTTCACGTGGTGGCCTTTTGTAGCCGACTTTACAGTGTGTTGAAGGCTGTACGGTTGCCTATGATTGCTTACATCCACTGCATTTAAATTCTGGTGGATAGTTGTCTCATTGGCAATCACACCACATCTAAATTTATTTCAATTTCTATGTTGTGTTTTGTATACTGTAACATTGTTTATCTTTTGTACGCATACCTCTGAGCCCTCTTTTCGTAAGCCCGAGCAAAAGCCATTGATTCGCGATAGAAAATTTAAATACGAACTCATATTAGATAACTCGAATTTCAACTCGAAATTTTAATCTCAAAAGGTGACTCAAATTCAAAGTTGAAGTCGAATTGTAACTCGAACTCTACCTTTAAATGTGACTCAAACTCGAAGTTCAACTCGAAACTCAATGCTAACTAGAACTTTAATTCTAATAATGGCTTGAATTCTAACTCGAAATCAAAGACTAACTCAAAGTTTAGCTCGAATAGTAACCCGAACTTTAATTTGAACTCTAACTCGATGGATGGCCACACTCATCCAAGGCACATAAACTATGGAAATCTATTTAAAAATAGAACCAGTTTTTCCGAATTGGTCACGTGGTTTTACCTCATCAAGTAATGTGATAACCACATCAAAGAATGACAGGACCACATCAAATACTGAAACAAACACATCATGTAGTGTCAAATTTTGAAACATCATTACGTAATGTTAAAGCCATATAAAGAATTGGCAAATCATTAATACGAAAAAACAAAAACCACATCATGTAATGAAACAAATACATTACGTTTAGTCACATACACATCAAGTAATGTTAAAACCACATTGCCTAATGACAAAACCACATTAAATAATGGTGAAACCACATCGAGTAATGACAAAACTATATTAAGTAATGACAAAACTGTATCAAGTCAATACGAAACCATATCGTGTAATATCGAATATCATTAAGTAATGACTATTCCATAGTGAGTTATATCAAAACATCATTAAGTAATGTCAAAACCATATTATGTAAAGACAAAATATCATCAAGTGATAATAAAACAACATAACGTAATATCAGAGTTCCACATAAGACAGCTGTGGCGTTCCATAGTTAACTTACATTCAGTGATAATGATAAACGACAAAGGGAAGACGGAATAACTTTGACGATCGCGTCGATTTTTTCCGTCGGTTTATTGTGTGCAATACACAAAATGTTGACATAAAATGGTTTGACAACGCATTTCAGTTATGGTAATATTGATGTGTCATTTTTAACTTCTAGTTATAGGATTTTTGTTTTGTTTTTGTTTGTCACTACGCACAAAATAAAGCAACGGGGGATTGAAAAGAATTACATTTAAACCTCACCAGAAGCTTTTTAAACAATTGATGCTAAATAACCGTAATTTTAACGAATTCTCAGTATTCAGGTGTACTCGATTACACAATTGCTCGTTGAATGATTAATAATTGCATTATTCTTATAAAATTGTGATGAAATATTTGTCTTTACGGTGAAAATTACCACAATAGTTCTAGTAAGACTTTAATGTACGATCTGGGACGGACTTAAAGTTCTATATAGTAAAAATTGTGGTTGATACACCTTAATGAGTGAAGAATAAACTATAACATCATGAAAACATTTGATGATAATACGCGATTCATGAAAACTTAACTGGTCAAAGAAAAAAATAGTCACAACAAAATATTCAAAGAAAAAAGTATGTTTTCCTCATTGGTCATTTAATGCTTAGCTATAGGGATCTACACGTATTTTTTGTATAAGTTGATCAAATACTTTTAATAATTGTGATTGATAAAGAAACACGATATAAATATATCGCCGGAGAATAAAACCACAGCTTTCGATTAGTTCGAGTACTCATAGTTCGGAGCTTTGTGTCTTTCGTCATTTTGTTAGTTGGTCTTAACCTTCCTTGCATCCAATCGGGAAGCCGCGTGCTGGAGAACTGCGAGGCGATGATGCAGCAGACACAATTTTTAAACTCGTACTTAGAAGGGGATTGAACACATAGCCATCTGTTTTTGACATAAACACGACCATGATACAACGGAGTCGTATTTTTAATATTTCAGAAAGGGGTTTCTGCATCAGGGGGATATGATTTCATGTTCAGGTAGATCGAGAGTATTTAGCTACTTTATCTTAGAGGACAAAGCATGTAACACTGTGACCTAGGGAAAAAATATATATTTCCACAATAACATATTCATACACATAATAAATTATTCATTAGCACCATACCTGTTTTCAAACAGTCATAAGTAACGTTCAGGTATTTATGTACACCTTGACGAGGATCACCGTATGTGTTCGAGGATACGGGCTGACATGACTGTACTCCGTCACAAGCGGTTTTCACATCAGTGAGTGCAGAATATGTATGATTGTATTCTGTAGAATTGGATACGGAGATGTGTGGACACACTATAGAACTAGTTCTCCCGTACTTCGCCTGTCGAATTTGAATGGAACATTCCTGGCAACACTCCAATTTAGGACCAGTAGAATCCTCACATAATAAATACTCATCTGCAAAAATAAGATTGACCTCCTTTCATAGTTACGGACCTGATCTATAAAGAGGAAGCAGTTTGTAAGTTAAGTTGCCAAGTAGAAGACAAATATTATTAACATTTACAATGATAATTTTAGTAGATCAAATACTAATAGAGTAAGAAAATAAGGTTACTGAAAGTTACAGGACATTTTCTTACATTAAAATCTTCTAGTAATTTTTTGTATACCTTGAATAACAAATTAGTCAAGTTTTAAAGATCCAAATGGAAATAAGCTATATGGCTTTCATGGATTATCCTTGTTTTAAAATAGACATGCTTTTGTTTGGGTATTGTAGTTTTAATTATCTATTAAAGATTTTATATTTCACTTTTAATAGAGAAAAATAATTTTTGATAACCTATCATTTCAAAGTGTTGATATTTTTAAACTTAAGGTTTAATTGACAGTTATTTCCAATATGGCCATACACATTGGTTTAAATTTGTGCTTAGGTGTAAAAGAAGGTGATGTTTTTTAATACAACGACTGACCGTGATGTTTAAGTTTAGAAGAATATAAGCAATGTTTCGGAAGGGCAATCTTATATTCTCCCCATAGAACATAACTTCAATCGGTTTAGTGATTTAGAAAAGGACACGGTTAAATCCATTTCCGATAGGGTTCAATGTTAATTTGTCCGTGTTGGTGGCCATGTAAAATAACAAACAGACTTACATGTCGAAATTTAAGAAAAACTTTGATACAATCAGTCATGCATACTATCAATCAAATCTGTGAAATGGTTTTTAAATATGCTTCTTATTTCCGTGTAAAGTAAAAATATTGTCTGTGTTAGCAGACCTCTAAGATTCAGATCGGTATAACAGTCATGCATTCTAGATATCAGATACTTCCACTATGTATATTATAACACAATGTCTATAAATCTGACAAGTGGTATGAATAAGACTTAAAGTAAAATATTTCTTTACATTAAATTCCTGTAGATTCCTTAACTTTCCAATTTCAGTCATTCACCATGAAAAGCAGAAAATCTATTGACTTGTTTTTTTACAATGACCACACAAACCCTGATTAAACTTTGTCCGCGATTTTTATCAACCATTACCCTTTCATCTGAAGAGATAATGTCGAAGTATTGGTGTTCATAGACATGAAATCTGAGTTGGCCTTCTATACGCGCTTGCGCGGGTTCTTATCTGCAATAATTAACCCCGAAATTATAATTATAACCGATCTTGACAGGAGCATTAGCTGCCAAATTCATTTGATATATGGTAAAACGTTATTCAGAGCTACAAAAGTTCCATAGAAAACAATAAACAATGTATCGAAGCGCTATAAAGTATCAATAATGCGTGTGTATTCCAGACTGGATGCAATCTATTTAATCATCGACATGACTTACGAAAACTGTCGATGAGTCAGTGACACCGGCCCGTTAAAATAATAAATATAAATAGACAGGTAAACATAGGTACACATAGACAGACCAGCACGTGCAACAGTAGAATATGGATTTTTTTTTATCTGTTAATAGTCTCATTTTATAGATAGAATGTAAATCATTTACTCATAGCATGTATACACTTTTTGCCGGTTGAATCAATGGACAAAACTGTCTACCTAATGCTGCCTTCCTTTGATTCACTATATTCAGTTGAAATTCGTTGTAGTAATTGAACATGCTGAGCCCATTCGCAAGACATTTCCAACTAAGAGGGGGTGGGGGGAGGGAGTTGGTGTCTAATTTGTGTACTCAACTTCGCCTACAGTTTTCAACCCAGGTCTCTGAAACATCACAGGAAGATTAAACATATTTGTAGTTATGCAAATTCTATTATGAAAGAAGGTACCAGTTTACAGCTTCTGCTACAGTTTTAACCAAGATCCACCAGACTTCACAGAAAGATTGTACACCTGTTGAAGTAATGCAACTGCTGTTATGGATTTTGGAACATTCTACATCGATTAGTAAAAAATATTGCAACCAGACCATTTGAGACTTTGATCCATTGCTACAACACTAAACCAAACTGGTTGCTGAAAAGCGAATTTTTATTTCAATAGTCCGCTTTTATTTATGGTTGAAAAAAAAAAGTTTAAGAATCGTCTCTTTAATGGACGAAATTAAAATTATGATGCAAAACATATCATAACTAATTATTTCCGAAAAATGTTCCAAAAAAACTCATTAATGATACAATACATACAACTTACAATAGTATGCAAATAGCGAATATAAATACTGTCTGTCGAAGAATACATAATTGCTGCTTTTGTCAAATTAGTTTGGTATTGACACAAGATCCTGGTAGCTATGGCAGGTTTTCATATAGTTCAAAAAGATTGTGGAAAATATATATTTCAAGTTGTCTGGAGTGACAAAAGTAATTTGATATGGAAGGTAGAACAAAAACCCTGTCATTATAAGTATTAGATTTAAATTGGTAACATGATGAACGGAAGATACATATCACATAAATTTTTCAAAGAGAATGGATTTATCAAGTTGTTCGATATGGTACTTTCGATTGATTTATCAGTTCTGAAATTATAAGAAATGCTCTCATTATTGTAATATAAGGAAATGTTAATAATTTTGTTTCCTGAAATTTCTCCCAATACCTGGGTGTTTATGCTCAAACAAAAATAAATTCACAATTTGAGAGAACTGCAATGCTAGTAACTTTGCTATGTATAGACTTCCACTGTCGACCATCATCCGCTCACAGTCAACCCATTCAAATTTAATGCTAGCTCATAAATGCCTACTCCTCACCATATTTTTACGATAGCCCATAAAAGTTATTAAGCTACTGTGTATTAAACCTATCGGTAAAGTCAGACGTTTCGTTTTTTACAGTCAAAACATAGATAATTAGGCTGATAAATAATAACGTTTAACATTACACTTTCACTTTCCCAGTTCCCTTTCCCCTCATTCATTTACATGAAATGCAAAAAAGACATTCGTTCCGTTGGTAGATAAAGTCTAACGTTCGTTTTTTCCAGGTTTTATTGGCTTTACTCTTTTTGAATTTACCTTGGAGTTCGATATTTTTGTTAATATGCCATTTTTTAATTAAGCACCAAAGTTGAATTATTGTCAATATACTAAAACCCCGATCGTATGACTATCTATTCTTATATCAATGACCACCAAATTTATTTCAGCAGATTTTCTTGTAGAGCACTATATGTATGATAAGCTATATTTTGAAAGACTCCCATACAATTTTCATGTACTATATTCTGGTACGATTTTAGTTTCGTTCGGTAAAGTTATGATGCAACAGTGGTGTAATTTCAAGTAACCTAATTCTACGCATTAGCCACTTGGACGTGTCTTTCATTTTCTATTTTTGCAAAAAACAGGCGAAAGAAACCAATGGGATAATCAAACTGACTATGTCATGTAAAAAAAAAACAACAAAAAGACAAACAACTGTACACAAAACACAACACAGAAAACTAATGACTGAGCAACACAAACCCCACCAAAAACCGGGGGCGATCTCAGGTGCTCCGTAAGGGTAAGCAGATCCTGCTCCACATGTAGAACCCGTCGTGTAGCTCGTGGTAGTACAACCCGATGAAGTTAATCCGCTTGTGCATAGATGAACTATATTATTACATAGTACAAACTGAGTATCAGAGATAACACCACATATGGCATTGAGATGTTTTAAATCAATTTCTATAGGATTAATAGACATGTAATAGCATACACAATATGTTCTACATAACAATAGTAACGTGTTTGTACAAATAAGAAATATTAATTATTCGTTTGTAACTTACAGTGGGCAATGCAATTGTTAAAGCATTTTTGAAATTACAAATCAATACTTAATTTAATTTGTTAATACGATACTAGTTATAATGACCGTTTATTTAAAGAGACGTGTTGATTAACAAATAAATAATGTATATTAGCATCCGCGAAAATTATATGAACAATCTAAAAAAACTGACAGACAATTTCAGTATTCAAAAACAACATATGATTACAAACAAATCGTAAAGATTACTGTATTTGTTGAATAATTCGTTCAGTTTTTTCGTATTTATATTAACTACAAGAATTATAAATCATACTAGAACACACCCGCAACATCGCGGGTCCGTGACTGAATTAAAGTACCTACGCCTTATTTTCAGCCTGGATTTTTAGTATTCGTATTGTCATTTGATAAAGTCATGCTGATTATAAGGTGCACAGTTTTCTCTTCTTTAAAAATCTTTCTGTTTGAATCCGTCCTGGTTTTCTTACTACAACCGGAAACTACTTGTAGATATATTTTTTTGGTCAATGATTGAATTTAGTAGTGTCAATCCCTGTATAATGACGAAGTTCAGGTGTGATTATGACCCGTGTATATAGCAAATCCCAAATACACCGTTTGGTGTTGTGCCTGACAGATGCAGAACGTACAGATTAGGTAACAGGTAACAGGTACTATTGGTATCGGTATCGGATTCGACCCGGAACTTGTAAATTATTGTTCATATTTATTAATTGGGGAAAAAAAGGGCCTGGAATGGTGTAATTTTTAATCAACACCATTGTCCTTTAGTAATAATATATAAAGTTGAATTCTTTTATTCGTCGTTTTTACGTCATGCCGGCTAACAAATTGGACCTCGTTATTTTAGTAGTATAGATAATCGACCGCTTTCATCCAGATCAATGTGGCCTCAATGCAATAAATCTTAAAAATTCAATATTTTTTATTCTTAAAGTGAATTATAATAACCGTCAATAGAAACAGGACGTGTACCACTAGTGAGACAGGATTTACTTTCAATCCAGAATTATGTGCATAATCTATCATTTTCTGTGCTAAATTTACTATATCTTAAATTTACAGTATCATTTCCACTGTAGTTCAAATCAAGTGAAAAATACAAAATGTCTGTATACTGGTTCTACTTTTATATTCAATGATTCCTAAAAATATTTTATCTACAAGGGAGTAATATCTAGGCCTAGATAGTCATGTCTT